AAAACAGGACACTTATTACTTGCTATTAAATTATTTTCAGTGATAGTACACTTAACAGAAAACAAAGCTAATGTAAAACATGCCATTAAACCTCAACTGTCACTGGAGACATCCGCTGGTCCAAGTCTGTCTGAGTGGCCAGCAATGGTAGCGACAACCACATCATCGGCCTCGCATGTAGCGCCACTAGCAAATCACTGACTGCATGCCACAGGCTTTGACTTCTTCTGTTTGTTTTTCATCTGTCAGACTGTCATCACGCTTCCTCAGATCAGAAGTGGTGCTTTTTTTCCCCCTGTGGTTGAAATCCTGTCAGAAACCAGCTGTGCTCAGCTGTTCAGACTTCCTGCTCAAAGGACCCAGTGTTCATTTGTTATGTCACAAAGTCGAGTCAGTTTTATTGATATATGTTGTTGTATTTTCTGCGCAGAAATAATTCCACACACAGAATTTCATTGCAAAGATGTTACAGTCGGTCTTGCATAAAGCAGCTCTAGTAACGATATTTAGATATTATGTGCACATGTATTTCAGAAATCAGTGGACAGTTTGATCACAGCGTGTATGTGTGTGTGTTTGCGTGTGCATGAACACACGTGTGTCGAGTCCTTTGAAGCAGACATACACCCCACCACTATCACTGCCGTTCTTGCTCCTCAGATGAAAGCTGATATGTGATCGAGAGTCCGGCCGCTTGTTTCCATTCAGAGCAGTGAAAAGGAAAGACGAGCTAATATTGTAGCACTTGTGATACAATCACACGTCAGCGTTTCTCCTTTTGAATAACACAAGAAAAGATTCCTATAGGGCACGGCTCATTTTGGGAATTATTTTTGGATTTAGCTGCACTCTGGGTTTGAAATCTAAATCTAAAGTTTCTGTAAAAGGTGGAAAAAAGAACAAAAAACCAGAAAGAAACAATAAAGCATGGGGGGATTGAATGAGGAGTAAAATGTGATTGGGGTGAAGGAGGCAGGTGGCTGGCCTGCTGTACACCAACCAAACCCACAAACAGCTGTTCATTTCTCAAAGCACCCTTGTGCCCCCCTCCATGCATCAATTCTCCCTCTCTCTTTCTGTCTCTCCCCCCCCCAATATCTTCCTCTTTCCCGCTCGACCCCCACCCTCTCCCCAAGCCTCCAGTCCACCCAGCCATTCCTGCCTCCCACCTCACTCTGCTGCAGCTAAACACACTTTGATCACGCGCCAGAATCAGGACACAGCTGGCTCACCCGTGCACATCTCACCGTCTGCTTATCATTTGTGGCGATAGTAAAACATGGCAGCGATAACATGTTTAAGTAAATAGTGACATTTGAGGAGAAATTAAGCAAAGTGGGAGACAGACAGAAAACTTCCAGGAGACCCAAAGCAGCGGCAGTCTTTCCTGTATTTACATCCCAAAAACATGCTAATCCAGTCAAGTGCAGGACATAAAAAAGTCAGGCCTCTCCACCACCCCCCGCTCCCCTCCTCTCCACCCTGTGATCCAGGCGGGCAGGTCACTTGCTGGCATGAATTGCGCGGCCTACCAGCAAGAAGACCAAACCAGAGATGAGCTCCAGGGGCACTCCGGCAGCCGCCACCATGAATGACAGGCCGTAGAGGACTGAAACCTCAGCATTCGGACATGTTTCCCCTCTCTCCTGAAGGATGTAGCTCTTTACATCCACCACCTCCATCCACAGGACGTAGAGCAGAAGCGTGAACAGGAACAGGCAGGCTGCGGAGAGAGACAGCATTAGAGAGACAGACACAGAGGCCGTCAGTGCTGTGAGTGGCTGCAGAGGAACGCAGCTCCTCTTCATCTCTACTGTTACCACGGCGGCAGTGTTTACTGCTGTCGTTATAGTGACAACACTGCAGAGTGACATCTGCTGCTCCGCGTGCCGGGTGTGTGTTTATCATGTGACAGGTATGAACAGCTGACAGCAGCAAAGGCTGCAGAATGAATGTGCGTCTGTGCATTCGTCTCTTATTTCACGCTAGTTAGGACTTACACACACACATAGATGCACAGCCAGCAGTCTATATTTTACCAGCAGCTAAGAGGAAGGCCCCGCCCAACTTGTAGAGTTTGTAGCTGATGAAAGGAACACCACAGACCAAGAGGAAGCCTCCAGCCAGAGCTAAGACGAGTCCGAGGATTATCAGCACGGTCCAGAAGCCCCGAAACACTGCAAGAAACACAAGCACAGCAGTGGAATCCCATAAGTGTTCTGCAAAGAAAGGGTGTTTTTGCTCAGGTTTTCAGTTTAATCCCAGCCCCTTGGATTCATTTGCTGACCGGTCCGCAAACAAGATGCTGAAGCCCAGGTTGCTCCTGTCGGCTGGCGAGTCTTGCATTCCTACCCAGGAATTTTGTGTATGTGTGTGAATGGAAGAATAGGAAACACATTGCAAAGTGCTGTGTAGAGCTGCCAAGGTTAAAAGGATGTCATATAAGAACGGATCATTTACATGTAAGAAGCTAAAGTCAGCATCCAGTTACTCTGGCTCTGAGAAAAAGAAAGCAAGAAAACTGCTCTTCCACATCAGTCATTACGTGTTCATTTTGTTTGGTTTCAGTCACAGGAAGGCAACGCTGGTTCTGATCTTTTGCGAGAAGATTGGAAACAACCAGCCATCTGTAGATGTGGTTAAATGCTGTCCTATTTAACACACAAATAGAAGAGTGTTTCCCATCTTCCCATAAAACACTTAGCAAGAAAGCAAAAAAAAGTATTTCCCAAAATAGACTGTTCCTTCAGGCTGGTCCTTTAATAACTTCGATATGGTCCTGATACGTTTAGGCTGTAATATGAGCACTTTTTGACTGAATAATAAATACCAGATTAAGTATTTCTCTGCTAAATCTTTACTGCTGTAGCAAAGATGGGATTTACTACTGATATATATGTGGGGACCTACAGATGAGGCCAAAATTATTAAGCGTTGCTTCTTTTAACGGATCGAAGGAATTTGTTATACAAGTGTCAAGAACAGGAGTGAGGAGTATCCTCAATAAATTCCAAGAAACCCACAGAGTACAGAACACGCCTGGCAGTGGTAGGAAGTGAAAGATTTCAAAGATTCTGGAAAGAAAACTAGTGAGAGATGTTTCTAGAGAGCCCAGAATAACTGCGAAGACACCCATGAATGATTTAGCCAAGTTGGGAATTGTAGTCTCAAATGAGACAATCACTAGAGCCCTGCACAGGAATGATGCGAGATTGGAGACCAGGAAAAACTTCTGCAGAAGACATGCCTTCAAGCCAGACTGCGGTGTGCTAAGGACACCCTAGAGACAGATAATGCACACTAGAAGAGCGAGAACAGGAGATAAAACTAGAGCTCTTTGTCCACAGACACTTTGCTGATGCTTGGAGAAAGTAGTGAGAGTTCTACATCTCAAAGGACAGCGTCCCCACAGTGAAACACGGTGGTGGGAGGATCATGATGGGTGGATGCTTCAGTGGGTCTGGAACTGGGAATCTCATCAAGGTGGAAGGAATCATGAAGTTTATGTGAAGATTTTAAAAGCATTCAAAAACAAACCTGAGTCTGGATCATCTCTTTATCTTTAAACACAACAACAACCCAAAATATGTCGCTCCTGGGGAAGAACTACCTCCAGAACACCAAAGTAAATGTTACTGACTGGCCAGTTCAAAAAATGCAAAGCCCTGACTTGAAAATCACTGTGGGATGAACTGAAAACCAGGGTCCCTGCTGGAAGACCATCAAATCGGGAGAGCATGTGAGACATGTTGAAAACTACAACAAACGACTGCAGGCTGTTATCCAGCAAAAAGAGTAAACGACTGACTGTTAGCATCGAGGAGGTAATTATTTTGAACCTGGTAGTTTTTGTGAAATAATTTTGTTTCTATGTGCAAAGCAAAATTAATGTAAGCATCCAAAATAAAACAAGGATGTTCAGACAAGCTGTGCTAAAAACAAGTTATCGCTCTGTTAAACAGCATTTGGGAAATACCCATATTTTTATTCAAGAGTAAAAAATATTTCTCAATCATGTATCAAAGATTTGTATCAAAGACAATTTTACCTGAAGTTTAGGAGTGAGACTACACCTTAAGCACTCCTCTTCTAAAAACCTGTACCTACTCCAAACACCTGTCTGTTCTCAATTTTAGGTCCCACCCTCCCCGTCTTTCTCTCCATTTCCCAGATAGGCACTTGGTGTATCCGGCATCCTCATATCAATCTTCTCCAAACCGCTGCCTCTCACCCAGCTGGCGTCAAATAATCTATCCACGATTATTTGTACATATTTTGTTGTTCATAAAATGTCTTGCATAGATTTGACCTCACTACTAAACAACAGGAAACAGAAAGACGTGTGTCCATGCAGCATATATTTGAGACTGTGAATTACCTGCTGTGGGGTCATAATTTGGATGAGGGACTTGTCCAACTGCAACCGGTAGCGGGAAGAGGTAACCATGGATGCAAACCTTAGACTCTGGCTGGTTTGCTATAGTTAAAAAAATGAGAAAGGTTTACAAAAATAATCACTCAAAATAATGGGCAAAGGTCTATAACCACAATAAACAGCAGACATATTAAGGCTTACACATAATTCAGTACTGACTTTATTGTTGCCTTTTATTTCCCATCATTGACTAGATTTTCTAAAAGCAGTGTCTGAATGAGTGGCAGAAGCACACTCAGCTATCAGGCCACTTGAATAACAATATGCTCAATGGTTGTTCTGGATTTCTTTTTCAATTCAGTGATGAAACATTAAGTGCAGCAGAAAATAAAAAAGACACAAATGCAAAATGCAGTCGGGGGAAAACAAAAAGCCCCAAAACACCCCATAAACAACATATTTTAGCAATCCTTTACATTTACTGTCACATATGAGCATTTTTCTTTTCTGCACTTGTAGCATGTCAAGGAGACCGCAGTGTTGAGCAAGGGACACGCAACCACATTGGACAACTCCCAACAAAACCTTTGCTCAGCTTAACTAGAGGAAAGTTTCGCCTACGTACTGAAGAGAGTGGCCAGCACTGCGTGCGTCGTGGGCTCCACCTGAAACGCACAGCGCCAGAAAAAGCCCTCGTGGTGCAGCGTGAGGGAAGGAGGGGAGGTACTCGCTTCTTCCACCAACAGCGTCTAAGAAAAAGAAATGGAAGACAGACTGACATCACACAGATAGATGCTCGAATACCTAAAGATGGATGAATCCCATTTTCTGTCAGCGCTGTCAACACGTCTGCGCTCGCGGCTCTGTGTGATTCCCCACTTCACTGGAGCCACGGCATCAAACGTGGTTCTGATTATGGCCTGCTGGTCTGTGAGGTTTTCGAGGGGGAACTTATATTCTCTGCTCGCTTGTCAGAAATATGATTGATGGCGCCGAATAACACAACAACTTTAATCATCCTGTTTTATTGAAAATGAAAGACTTTGTTTCTGTGATGTTACGGAGGAATTCACTGGGGGATTAGCTTTTATAAATATATCCCTTACGTTGCACTCTTTGAACTTTCACACAAGTGCTTCATGGGAGAATAAACTGGAAAATTAAAGGGCCACTCCACTGATTTTACACATAAAGCTCAGCCGGCTCGTCAGTGAGAGTCCTACTCGCCGTGTAAAAACAGTCGTATCAAGGTGCCACAGTTTTGTCAAACCTTACCCCGAACCGCTTTTATTTTACAGCTGGCAGTCGAAGTGATGGACCAAAAATATTAAATCTATGAAATACACTCAAATTTTCAGCAGCATGCTGATAGCAGCAAAAGGTTATCAAGGATGTCAGTGTGTGATGACTGGGTGGTCCACAGCTGTGGTCCAGACTGAAAGATCTCAACATCTGGGTGGATTACTCTGACATACTCTATATAATCCCTGTTTTTGTCTCCTATTCATGAAATAATACCTCGGCTGCTTATTTGCTTAATATCAGCATGTTCATATTTTAACCAGAGCCATCCTCATCTTCACAAAGATGCTACTGTAGTGTGTATGATGGGATGCTGTGTCACAAACTCTGGATGTGAAGTCAGGAAGAATGTAGGTGTGTAATGAGCAGGGAGGGTTTGATGAAAGGTGCATTTGGAGGTATTGTGGTAAGATCATAAAGGCCACTAAATACAAACTACAAGTCCACGTGTCTCTTCTAACTCCTCTCCTGCACACTTTACAGAAGTGCAGTCACCTACAACAGGAAGGCCAAACATAAGGTCCGGGGGCCAGAATCAACCCGGCAACAGCTCCAATCAGGCCCACTGATTTTGAACCTTTAACTGTATTTTCATACGTTTTACAGCTTTTCTGATGAAAACCTCCAACAACTCGTAAAGTACCAGTGAGGACAGTGCAGGGAATGAGCAAGCTGAACTTTTTCTGTACTTTTGCGAATTTATCATGTGGAAAGACTGAGGCATGCTGTTTAAACTGCACTTCTTGTTCTTATATTGAGACATCTCATGGATTTAATGTTTGGATCAAAGTCTTTACACTGACAGAAAGGGGAGTTTTACTGGTCCAGTCTATTTAAGATCAAACTGGGCTGTACTAACCACTATGTAAAATGAGTTTAGACATCCCTGGCCTCCCACACGTTTGGGCAGAGTGTAATCGGCCAAAAAAAAAAAAATGCAGTGGTTTCCAAATCAGGAAGACTTCTGATAATGATTGTCAGTCAGCAACTTTTACTGGATTCACAAATGCAAGACCTTTGCTATGCCATTAAAGAGACAAAAACATATTTTTTAAAAACACTCCAGTTGAACTTATCTAAGAGGCAAAGTGGAAAACTGTAGCCTGACTGCTTTCTCTTGCAGGCCAAAGAGGTTAAGAGTCCTCTGCCCTGACACAGTTAAAAGTCAGTACCTGTGTTGGTATGGAAGTAGATTAATAATGGATTGTATTTATATAGCACTTTTCAAGGCACCCAAAGCGCTTTACAATTCCACTATTCATTCACTCTCACACACTGGTTGTAGCCACAGCTGCCCTGGGGTAGACTGACAGAAGCGAGGCTGCCATATTGTGCCATTGGCCCCTCTGGCCAACACCAGTACGGTAAAGTGTCTTGCCCAAGGACACAATGAGCAGGACAGAGAGCCTGGGGATTGAACCGGCAACCTTCCAGTTACAGATGCGCTTCCCAACCCCCTAAGCCGTTAGTCAGCATTACTCAGGTAACCAGTAATGCTGACCAGTGGATTCAGGTTCTGGAGCAACATATGCTGCATTGCAGTGTCTTGTTTCAGGGAAGGTCTTGCTTATTTCAACAAGATATCAGCAAACAACGTTCTGCATGTATTCCAGTATGGGTGGAGCTGTTGCCCAGTCAAAACATTTGGAGCAAGATAGGTTCAAACTGCTGGGCAGCTGGAATCCTTACAAGAAAGAATAACGCTACTGCCACGTTTCAAGAATTCGATATTGCAGCAAAGCATCTGACCCAGCCGGTAGCATCAAATTCTAAACTTATATTTTTTTCTTTTAAAAACAAAATCCCTCTGCTTCAACATTTGCTGTTTTCCTTGTTCTAGTTTTAATTAAAACTCATATGTTCTGTGATTATAAATGTGTTTTGCACAGCCTCCCAGCTTCTTTGGAAACAAGGTTGTAAATTGCTTCAGGACATCTTTAAATATCTTATAGTGGCATAGCTCGCACAGCAGCGAGTCCACAGCACCTGATCGGGTTTCCCCGTTTATTCTTTTTGTGGTTTTCACGTGTGACCAGTTAAAAATAATATTTTCGGTTGCTGTTATTGAATCGATGTGTTTTGATGGAAGTGATCAGTGATTGCTTACAGTATGTTAGGAATCGCACTTCTATCTGTCCTACCTCAGTCCTGTTGGCATCTTTGTCCCCCATCGGTGTCGTTTGTGTTTGCCATCTATATGGTCCGCAGTTGTCGCTTGCGACCAGCCAGTAGTCAGTACCAAATGCCAGGAAGAAACACAGAGTCCCTATTACCCCAAAAATCCCCCCAGACAGAGCTGCAGCTCCCACCCTCATAACTCCGGCCTTTACCCCGCTTTAAAGTATGATTCCTCTTAGCTTTTAGTCTTCAGGTCAGTGACTCCTTACTTGTGTCCACTCTGAAGGCTGTCTGCCCAGTCCCAATCCTAAAGAACATGGCCAGCCTCTCTCAGCCACTCCCTGGCATGCTGGGAGCTGTGAGGGAAAAAATGCTACAGTAACCGAGCAGGTCAAACAGAGGGAGGTGGGGGGACAGGAGTTATTTTAGGACGCAGTAAGCCTGTCCTCGTCAGATTACCAGTGTATGTATTTTGCTGTGCATTTGTAAAGGAAACAAGGAGAGGAAAGATTGGCGTGAGGACGTTGTGGGCAGCAGGTATCAGCATTTATGACTGCGAGGTATTTGTAATGTTTGTGTTACTCTGGGAATGGTGCTTTGAAAATGAATTAGGCTGGAGATGCAAGAGTTGTTCAAGAGGTGAAACATAGAGCTGAGAAAAGCTTTATTGTAGCCGGCAAATAAATAAATAAAACCATTAAATTCATTTTATGAGGAATTTACTTGGGATGCGTCCATGAAATTGCTGAAGACTTCTACTAGTTCTGCTTTGCACCTCACAACTCTGTGCTTAAAGGAATACAAGGTACTTATCACTTCAAATGATGGAACACGCTGAGTTCTTTGCTTTCATATGTTTTTCTCCCTCCCTCCCCGTGTCTCACAGTCTGCATTCATTGCTGCTTCTCATTCTCCAAAACAAAGCTGAGGTGTTTCCTGGCGGCTCTCTCCATGGTTTCCTGATGTTTTGGAGAGACTAGGTCTTCTCTAGCAGCTTTTGGATCCATTGATCTAGTCTGAGCCGGGCCAGCTGAGTCTGAGGAGTCCAAGAGAGTGGATCGTGGGCTAATGGAGCACACTGCCAAGAGGGAAGAGGGTGAAGTGAGCTCAAGAGTCACAAAATCAAAAAAGCTTCTGGTCAAAGATCAGGAGGGAGAGAAATACTAATAAGCTGTTTTGTTTTTGTTTTTTTTTCTTTTCTTTAAGTTAGAGCAGAAAGTTTGAGAGACAGCAAACACACAGTTAAAAAACTGCATGAATTAAAACACAATTTTGCAGAAGTAGACAGGATGACTGAGTTTTAATCTTACGTACTAACTAGCAAGAAAAGCAAAAAGCCTTTAAAAGTAAAGCTTTCCATTTGTTCAACATAAGTTTGATAAACAGACATTTGAAAAAGAAAGTGGTTGTCGGACTCTATGCGATCACATAAAAAAACAAAGTGCACCCTTATTGGTTCCATATGAGGGGAAAGTAGCAGCCTTAATTCATAATTTTGGTCATGTAGCCTGGAAAGTAGCAGCCTGGAGAAACTGCAAAAACCAAAGAGCTGCATGTCCGACTCCACAGGCCTCAGTTAGCATGTTAAATGTTAAACTTCATGACAGAATGGTTGGCGAGATAAGTTATGGCTTGTTTTAGAGTGCCAGGAGAAAAAACGACCATGGCAGCATGGTTTAGTTTTGAAAAGCTGCATCTGAACAAACAACTTCTGAAACAATGTCATTTGGACAGACCAACAAGACCAAATTTGAGCTGTCTCACCATCATGCACAGTTACGTTTGGAAAAATTAAACACAGCATATGAGCTGTCAGGCACAGTGGTGGAGGGGTGGTGATTTGGGCTTGTCTTGGGGCTGCGGGACCCGTGCACCTTGCAGTTATTGAGTTTAACTCAGTGCACCAAAGTCATCTAGAGTCAAATATAATGCTATCTGAGAGCTAAAGTTTGGCTGAGAGTAGGTTATTTGGCATGGTAATGATCCCAAACATCGAGGTGTTACCATGGCTGAGCCAAAGTCCAGACATCAGCTTCATTAAAAACTGTGGTGGGACATTCAGAGAACCTGCAAAACCGCAATGAACTGAAGCAATGATGTAAAGAAGAGCAGGAAAAATGTATTGACAATGATGTGAGAGACTGATAAGGTCATACAGAGAATTAATGATTCAAGTTATTGTTACGTAAGTTGGTCCTACAAGCTGCTGAATCATGCAGAGGACTTGGCTGTTTTTTTATAGGACTGCATAGAGTCCTGTCAAGACTTTCTGTTTCACATGGCTGTGCATCTGGCTGCGTCTTTACCTGTGTGAGATCTGCTAAGTCCAGTTCTCACTCTCTGTGGCTCACTTAGCCCACCATCCTCCCCCTGCAAAAGTAGAAATACACAGTACAGCACCATGGAGGATGTTCTCTACTCTGATACCGACACTCCATCATTCACGTAGAGTTTAAACAGATTCCTAAACTTGGATGCAGTATTTCAACATGAATCCACCAAGCCACAGGTGTCGAACTCCAGGCCTCGAGGGCGATGTGTCCTTGATCCAACACAGCTCATTCAAATGGCTAAAGTACCTCCTCAATAAGTCTTGAAGTTTTCCAGAAACCTGGTAAGGAGCTAATCATTTGATTCAGGTGTGTTGACCCAGGGTGAGATCTAAAACCTGCAGGACACCGGCCCTTGAGGCCTGGAGTTCGACACCCCTGCAACCCTGTGAACTTACTCTCCTAACCATTCAGTCTTTTTAATTCTGTTCAATAAAACCTGAATATGAGGAAATGCAGGTAGTTTGCATGCACCTGAAAGTGTGTGATTGTGTTGTATGAGTATCTTTCTCCCAGACTTTGGTGTCTGTAAAGGGGCTTCCTTGTTCTGTCCACCAATGTGTCCTGGTGCAGGGTGTGTCTGCTGTAGGCTGGTGTCTGCTGGAGTGAGGACACATGCATGAGCCCAGAAGTGTGGAGCTGAATTATACACATTGTGAAATTTCTAAGTTATAGTAGCTGGAAATAGGAAATAGCTAACAGTGGCATAGAAACTTTACCTTGTTATTGAAGTTTTGGAGGTTTCTTGAGAGGATGCGCCTGATGCTTTCCATCTCCTCCGGTAGCAGAGGTCGCCCTTGGGAGCGAGGATCCACTCTAGGTTTTTAGAAAACCCTGATTATGGTCACAAACCTTTCTTCCGTTATTCTGGGAACTTTAAGGACAAACACTGACACAGTCCAAAAACCATTTTCTTACATCGGCGGGGCCTCCTCCTCGACTCCCCTCTGCTCCCGTCTCTCCAGCTCCTGGTAAACTCTGAGGATGCTGGAACTAGCCTGGCGGTCGTTACGGATGAGGAAACGGCGAAGGTACTTCTTGTTGAACTGCTCAAACCTCACACACACACACACAAGCACACAGATGGCAATACTGTGACTTGTAGAAAATGTGCATAGTGTTTGCTGCCACCTGCTGGTCATTTCATATTTTATCTTTTTATATGCACAACAAACGCTTTATGATAAAACACAAGCAGAAGGCAAAGTAACAGTTAAACACGGAAAACTAACTTGTCTTTCCAGTAGTGCTGCCCCCAGTAGCCAACCACGTCCTCTATACCTGCCACCAGGTGATCTATGAGCTAACAACAAACAGGATTATTTGCAGATAACTTGCAAAAAATGATATCCTTTGGAAGTATTGAAAGAAATGATGAAACAGGCTGCCCTCTGTGCACCATCCACTTCAGTGCATCCTTCAAACATTGTATGCTTTGCATAGGAAAAAACCGAGCTCACCTTGTTTCCTTTTGGTTAGTAAGCCTTGCTCTTCTGAGATCATAATCCTTGACAGTCTTTGCTAATTTACTGATATCTAAAAATCAGTAGTGTCCAGAGTTATCTACAGCCCTATCACAAATCCACACTTAGCTGTGATTCCTGTGATCTCTCACCCTGCTGTGGATCTCCTCACTGAGAGTAGGCAGAGCTCTCTTCTTCCTCTTCACATACAATAGCTCCACCAGAGGCTTGATGGTCATCCCCTGCAAACCAGACTCAGAAAATAAAATCCACCTTCAAACTATGACAAACTGTTTTCCTTACAATTCACCAACATGTTTGCCCCACCTGTACAAAGACAGTAAAGAGAATGACCACGATGGTAGTGGTGATGAAGAGTCGTTTCTTTGGGAAGTCATCAATCAGGAAGACCAGGGAAAAACAGATTGCCCCTCTCAGGCCACCGTAGGCGATGATGAACTGGTCTCGGAAGGTCACGGCGTTCCTCCGGAGCTTGTTCACAAACGCGGTCAGCAAAAGCACGCCTTTTAAGAAGTGAGAAAGAGTTTAGATATCCACTTTGCTGATCTTGTGATATAACTTGTTTTAAAGTGCGGGGAAGACTTATACCCGTGGCCCTCCAGATGAGACAGAGCAGCAGTGTAGAAGTCACAAACGGCCAGCTCCACATGTGGATGTCCTGTATGGTGGACACTCCCAGGAAGATGAAGATTAAGGTCTCGCTCACGCTACTCCACATCTTCAGAAAGTACTGGATGCTGGTGTTGCTGCGCTCCGACACATTTGCTTCCACGTACTGTTTCATTGTAGCAGCACAGGTCACTATGCTGCAGGGCAGGGAAAGGGGAAGCAAAGTTAACTAATGTTTATACTAATGTGTACAATTTGTGGTCTTTGGGATTCAGATGATTCTGAGCAGCACTCACGCCATGATCCCAGAGAGGTGAAGCATCTCTGAGGTAAGGTAAGACAAATAGGAATAGAGGAAGACAAAGAGCGGGGCGATGACTTGGGCCCTGGAGGTAAAACGTGAGGTGAGGGCTGCCAGCAGGCCGAAGAAGAGACCTACACACAAGCCCCCGATTCCGACCACCACCACCCTGCAGCCCCCCAGCAAAACATCCAGCCCTGACACTGATGGCAGACGGAGGAAGGACTCAAAAAGCTTGTAGAGCACCTGAGAGGAAGAAACGTCTATGAGTATCAAGTGTTTCATTTAGGTACCTGAAACACGCACCGCTTCTCTCCTCACCACAGTGACGGCGTCATTGAGCAGTGACTCTCCGAACACCAGGATATGCAGCTGTTCGTTAACTTGCATCTCTTGGAAAACAGAAAGCACCGCCACTGGGTCTACAGCAGCGATCAGGGAGCCAAACAGCAGGCAGTGGAGCAGAGAGACATCTCCTAGTGAGCTCTGAGCCAGCAGGCAAACACCGTACAGAGACAGGCCGATGCCCAGGACGTTCCACAAGGTCCCCAGCACTGCATACCTGCACATGCACAAGAAACCAGCTTTAAGACACCTGCTCCAGGTACCTTTAACAAATGCTCGATGAATATCTGATTTTAGCCACTCAGGTCCACAAAAATAAGCTCAAAATATGACAAATGTGGTAACATTTGCAGTGCGTCATGTTTATTTTGAATATTCAATGTGATTCCTAAGTTCATGGTCAGTTCTTAGTAATCTTAGAGTTCTTCCTCCCTCAGTGTCTCGTCTTCTTCTGTGTTCATTCAGCCTTGTCTTCACGTTGTCTTCATGTCTTGTCTCTGTGTTTTGTGTTCCCCTGTCGGTCATGTCCCCATGTCTGTTTCTGTCCGGTCCCAGTGTCAGCCAGTGTGTGTTAGTCTTCTTCTCTGTTTTTATTGTACTTCCTGTTTTATTTTGACAGTCTCTCATCCTTGTACAGTATGTTCAGTTTTACTTCCCCTGTCCTATTAGTCTGTATCGGTTCCAGCTGTGTTTACAATTGTTGCCCATCCTCTCGTTAGTTTCTAGTTTATCTTTAATTAGTTTCTATTTGTTATTGTTTTTGTATTTTATTTCAAGCACTGTGTTACAGCACATGAAACTGCCTCCTTTAGTTCACTCCCTTTGTTTCATCTGTCTGCCACACAGCCATACATGACACAGAGGGGTGAAATGATTATTAGGTCTCCTGCTGAATTTGTAAGTTCACTCACTTACAAAGAATTGAAGAGTCTCTATTTTTGTTGCAGATAAATACAACAAAATAAAACCAGTACCGGTACCCAAAAAAAAGAAGATCTATCCATAACCACGGGAAAAGAACCAGGGAAACCAAGTTAACAATAAAAACGATTAAAAAAAATAACAATAACAACCAATAAAAACCCTGAAAACCATAAATTTCACACCCAAGCTTCAACTCTTGCAGCCCGGTACCAAACGGCTCATGGACCGATACAGGTCCATGCCCCGGGGGTTGGGGACCGCGGCTTTAACCCATTCCAGTCAAACAATCCTGTGACTCTGTGGGAGGCAGAAATCTGGCTGGGCTGTAGGAAACCAAATACTCATTTCACTCAGTGACATGCAGGGATGTTTATATCTTGGTTCTCTCCATTAGAATAAAACCGTCATAAAAATTTGAGACTGTCCAATTCTTGGTACACGATCAAAATGATGAATTAAGCAGGAGATCAAATAATTATCATTTGGATGTTTCAAATTTCAACCCTGAGCCTGAACCATGAAATAATTGCCACAAATTCAATTGTTTTTGAAAGTAGAGCATTCATTAAATCATTTGAAGAAATTTAAACAATAAATAAATAAAATATAGATTTCTGTTTGTGAATTTCAATTTGTATCATATTTGGTGCATCATGACTTTTTTTTTTTTTTGCAATTTATTCTTTTGAATTTTTATTTTATATTGTGTAATTTACACTGATGATTCAGACGTAGAGGTAGAAGAAGGCTTTAAAGGGTAAAACCAAAATAAAGAGTCTAATTCTGACTTTTAAATCAAACTCTTTCTACTCATATTTTATGTGGAAATGGTGTACTTTCATTCTGTTCAACGCAATCTACATACGAATGCCTCCACACACACGCACACACACAAAAATCAAACATTTTAAAGCTACCAACCAGAGGATTGTACCAAGGTTTTCAAAGAACAGCCTGCCTGGCAGGAAGTATCCCGCATCTAACACGATGGGTGGCAGCAGAAAGAGGAAGAAAGCATCGGCGCTGAGAGTCGGTGGAGCAGAGTGGCGCACCCCATAGATCACACCTCCAACCAGGAGGCCCACCATGATGAGGACGCAGCTTTCGGGGACAACTGCAGGGACTCGACCTGACCAGTGGAAACCTGAGGGAATGAGAAACGGAGAGGGAGTAAAAGGAAATCAGCAGGATCCGAACTTTGTGGAGTTCTGACTAAATTGCTCTGTAGCTATACCGAGGGAGGACTACTACCATTGTACTCAGATAAACTCTTTCATTGATAGAACAGATTGTTAACTTGAGGTTTGGTGTGAGTTTTAAAAAATCCTGGAAATAACTAGAAATGTAGAAAAATAATAGATATTATATACATTATATTATATATGAAATAAGTTTAATGAACTAAATTAAATGTTAAATGGAGGTAACCTAAGTTATTAACATCCAGCTATCTGACACAAAGCTGGCTTCTCGTGGATGAGTGTGAGCACAACTGAGGCTTACCCAGCTTGGCCAGTGAGGCCAGCATGATCCACAGCACGATCTCAAAGGGAGCCTGTACGTGGTGATAGTCCATGCTGAACACCCTCAGAGCCATGGGTAGATCCACAGACAGGCTGCCATCGCTACTGTTGGTGCCCAGCGAGGGGGGCAGATTGTGCGGCAGAGGGCTCCCATCGGGAGAGGTCACGGCCAGACAGCCCAGCAGACTGGCAGAGAGCAGCAGAGAGAGAGTCCACAGAGCAGTCATCCTGCAGCCATGCTGGGACAACAGCAGAGAGAGGCAGAGAATAGGAGTGGGACTATGGAGATGGGGGGTGGGGGCGAGACACACAAAACAACCTGACTGGGACTCATGCAGCCACTAATGTGCACAGGAATCCCTGAGCTAGCAATGATACCAGCAGCACAGAGCTCAAGGGGTGTGTCACACACACAGACGGTCTCATCAGCAACTCAAAGAACATTACATCCATTTCCTGAAAATGAACCCTAACTGGAAGCCAAAACAAAACCCAAAATATGATTATTTCCATTACAGGGAATTGCTTTAAGTCCACAATATGTGCCTGTGTACACACATTTGTGTCCCCACGGCATAAGTAATGCAAGTACACATGCACAAGATTCAGCCAGGGTATTAGCACTGATGGTTTGTTGTGCACAAAGCTTAGATAGATTGCAATAATTGTTAATATATTTTGTTTACCTAGCAGAGAAAGGGCTTCTCCAATAATGGACTCATTTTCAGTGTTTGTTCTCATGCTGTGGTAGCAGTGCTTCATTTGGTGGAATTTGTGTTCTGCTGTGGCTTATTTGATTTGCAATCTTTCATTTCAAACAAGCAACTTATTGTTGATGCGGCATGTTGTGATTATTGAAATAGTTTGAATTACAGTTACAAATATGTTGCCTAGTGGTGAGAAAAAGGCTTTAATTATCAGCCAAGACAGTATCTCTTCCTCCCACTGGCTTCTTATTAAATTCGGTTTATCGTCTTTACATATTTTATGCCAATATGCGTGCAGTCCGTCAGTTCCACTGCAAACACAAGGATCTGTGTCAGAATAAGCCTTCCACTGTATAAGTGCACAAAAATAATTGGTTCAGTGAGTTTAGTTGTACGGGTCATTTACACAGAAAACAAACAAAAAGTTAAAAATATGTTGCTTGTGTGACTTGTTCCCTTTTCCAAAATGTTAGGCAGATGGCATGTGATTTTTTTTTTTTCTGTTGCTTTAAAATCTGTTTGTGCTTCTGGAAAGTTGTTAGTTGTTCTTCTCCAGTCCAAGAGAACATTTAAAAGCTAAGAGTTGTTTTGGTTTTTTTACACACCCTCACTACCTCAGTGATTTTGCCCTTCGTCCCTTCTTCCCTACAAGTGAACTCACTGAGGATCAGACCTCTCCACCTCTGATTAACACATAATGCCTGACTGCAACTTCTGGCCATGTTAGAAAACAGCTGGAGAAACTAAGAAGCAGCAAGTCCGTCTGTGACTCTAAGTCATATTTACAACCCGAGTCTGAAGCAGGAGAAGATACCATTGAAATGATAAAAACATCCTGTTTGATTCCTCTACTGGAGAAGTTGACAAAGTCCAAACTTACTGACTATCAACCTGGCAGACTTCAAATCGCGTGTGAGGAAGGTGATGGGAAGACATGTCAGTCCACGTCAGACCAGAGATGAAACATCTTGACCCTCTGCAGTTTACACACAGTCCATCATCTACATGCTGCACAGCGTTTAATCATTTTACACGATTCAGCCACTGATACAGACAGAGGAGGTAATATCAGTAAACACACCCTCCATCGCATGGATTGCTGACAGACAGGCGTTGCTCCGCCCAATCTCACATCCGTGGACTGTGCAGTTATTCCTGTTCCCCTTGTTCACCTTAGAATTTCAGTACAACTCCAACTCACGCCACCCTCAGAAATATTCTTTGATCCTCGAGTGGTTGGATGTAAGTAATATATAATCAACTAACTTGCCATTAATGTATAAAAATGAATGTAAATTCTATAATACATGATTGGGAATATCAGCACAAACAAACATTATAAATTCGGATCTTTCTAACAAAGTTTACTTTTTTTTCCCTAAATCCCTTTTCATTCATCTTTTACTTTAACAGTAGTAACTTAAATACCAAGTTACTTGTTCACAAGAACATTTAATGACACAGAGTCACTGTTCATCACACCTTACACATACACCTGTGCTATAAGTAGAGATGCCCTCTCATCTGAGTGTTTTCACTATGTAGTTTTGTATTGCAAATTCATAAGAATAAAGCTACTAATTCTTAATTAATTTAATCACTTCATTAATTTTATTTGCTTAGAACTCAATTTAATTATAGGACATGAAAAGCCATGAATGTTGTGTAATGTAGGTGTACAAACCTATAAACGGTGGAAACTGTCTTGTGTATCAGACTTGACTGAGAGCCTCCTGCCTGCTGTCCGTCCTGTTTCAGGTCAGACAACTGCTCTGAACTGACTTGAATCTAAATTTCTAATGTTGCCTGTGTGCGAGCCTAAATCAGGTATGCCATTTTAATTCAGTTATTAAGTTGCAGATAATTTAGTTTTATGTTTTAAAAAAAATCTATTTTCAGTCATGGGTTTTCATATCACTTGATTTTGCTAAAGCATGAATTAATGTCCTGTAATCCCTGTAAACAGCATGCATCATGGATACCAGTACACCACATCCTTTTGATGATGCCGGAACCTGTTAAAGTTGAATAGCTTCCACTTTCTACCACAAGACCTTATATAACTCCTGCTTGCTTCTGCCTTTACTGAGGTCTAATCAACCAGCTGAAAACACTTGTGTAATTACACTGGATAGGGCCCCTAATAAGGTATAATGTTATCAATGTGAAGTGGGGAAGTGATTCAAAACATGAGGTAGCCTACACTGCTCAGGGATACCTCTGTAGTAGTTGGTATGTGGCAATATTAGCTTTGCTAATCAGAAAAATTAAAAAATATTTTAGTAAATAAATTGTGTGATCCTGAACAGGCGTGCGTTATGAATAAGGACTTCAAATAGACAAAGAGAGGGCAAAAATGATTAGAATAGCATGAATACTGGGCCAGAGTGAATAATAAATACTTGAAATAGCTAGCTAAACGTATAGCTAAAAACAGCTGAAACTGTTAGCTAACGGGCTGGATTAACATATTGTGAAACACTAAACTGACGTTAAATAGCATAGCAGAAAAAAGTAGTGGTAGAATTGTTTCATAGTTAGCTAAAAAATAATGATGATAATAACAAGTTAGCTACAAGAATATCCAAAACATTTAACCATCATAGCATTACCTTTAGCTACGCTTAGCTAAATGTAATGCTAAGCATAATCTGAAAGTCATTGAGAAGTGGTTTAAATAAAAATGAATTCATGATGAAGTAAAACTCTTAAAAATGAATTGATGAAAATGATTATAAATCTGCTGGTAATGGACAGATAGTAAAATACAAAGACTGTAGCTCAGAGCAAACTGACCAAAAAACCCACGGACTGATAGTTTGACTTGGTTGAAACAAGTGTTAAGTTAGACTGGGTTCAGATGAACACATTTAACAACAAACATGAGGTATTTGAATCCATCTCAATAGACTTCAAGCTTATATCAGATATCAGATGAAACATAATAACTTAATTTCCTCTGTTCACTCGGTTTGGGACTAATACATCTCCCACAAGTTAAATCTAATTTACCCCTGTTCTTTGTCTTTGTATTCAATTTTTAGATTAGCTCCTCTAAATTACCTTGGATTTACCTGCCATAATCTCCACACAGAGGCTACATATAACAAAGCCTGATCACACTGCCAATTCTAATCTATTAATTACAGGATAACCTCAGTTAAATCTCTGTTTTCCATCTCTTTTCACAGATGAAGGCTTCCAAAGATTATGTTGGTGCATGTTAATGAATTACCATTAACCTCACTGCAGGATGCCTACTTGTGAGGACGATTTGTGTTTTCTCTTAGCAGCCAGATCAATCATATTTCTTGAGACTGCTGCTCTGACAGTTGATGCCAAAGCTAGAGTGATCTTCGGGTCCCTTTAAACAAAAACCTAACCACTACTAATAATAATCATGATGGAAACAGCTGTACTAAAGCCTATTCTCTAAACTTAACAAGGTAACATCTTTCTCAGGACTACAGGAAGAACCTGCTTTCTCCTATTCCTTTATCTGCCAGCGGAGATCAAACTAGGTGATGTGTATACACCCGTGGAAATCATCATGGAAACCTAATCAGACACGTTTGCATAGAACTGGTCGATAACATGTAAAGTTTGTGCTTGTGTTGAAGGGGGGCCTTGTCGGTGGGGTTGTGTTTAATCTCTGTTGCTAACATGGCAGCATTATCACCTTTTTCTCCTGACCTCTATTAGATATCAGGCAGTCCGAAGGCTTTTTGTAATCACACTTGAATCAGTTATTTGGTAGCAAAAACCTTTGCACACCATATTTTTTCATAGCGCACATAAATGTCAATATCCAGCCTTCTGCTGTCTAAGTAAGTAGATGGGTACAAGATGGCTTTACAGGTGTTGGTAAAAAGCAACAGATTAATAAAACGCAGTTGTAAACAACCACAAGCTGATACTTTGTTATATCTTGCTTTATTATAAATCAAACACTTAACACATTCCCAACTATAAGTCAGTAAAATCCATTTGAATGTATAACAAGTAGCTCCCCGGTGGTGTAATACTCAAATCTAACAGAAGATGGCATATGAAAGCAACTAAGTTTCAGGCATCTTAAGCAAGAGAGCAAGGCTTTGTATAAAAATAGCACTGATATAGTGGATACAATTGTGTGTGTGTAAACTTGGGTGTGAAGCACTGAAGCAAAGTCGTCTAGGTCACAATATTTAAAGCTTTTGCAGGATCATTGCGGATGAGGATTTTCCGCCTCTGAAATCCTCAACACTGGGGAGCTGAAGTTGGAGGAGCAGGGCACCAAGTTATGGGTGTTCAGATAACTAATTTTACTGCTGCTGTCTTCTGTGCTTTCTTCCATGCATCCCAGTAATGAGTCTGGCCCCTCTGACTGGCTGCTAGGCTGCGGCGGGGGCACCAGGCCGTGCAGGAGGCTGTTCCCCAGGTGGGAGTTGCACCGAGCTAAGTTCTCAGTTAGATGCTGCATGTACACCTCCTCCAGCTGTTTCTCCAGCAGCCCGTTCAGCACCGAGTTAGACATGGGCTCTAGCCCCGATCCAGGCAGATCCAGGCTGATGTTCACACTGTCCCCCATTGCTAGATAACCCTGGTCTGGTATGGATGGTACTGAATTCTGTGGCTCTTGCTGGGCTGTGCTTGGACAAACTTGAGAGATGGCAGACTGGATGCAGAAATCATGCTGGCTGACAGCAGTTCTCAGTAGATTGTGTGTGATGCGGCCTGAGTCAGCCACCTGCAGGTCTGGATACTGTTCCAGCAAGCTACAGTCTTCTATGTAAAGGGGGTACAGGTCAGTAGGGATTGAGAGGGCTACAGGTCTCTGAGGCACCACTTTGAGAATCTGGGGTTGGCTGGAGTTTAGATCTTCCTCTATGATCCCTGATTACAGAAGAGAAACTGGTTACATGCTTGCTTACAATTTTTTCCCCAATATGAAACCAGATAAAGGACAAATGATTATTTACAAATGGATTGCTTCTTATTAGCTATATTTAATTATTTAATACAGCTGTTAAATTATTTAACCAAACTACAATATGGGTATTATTAGTTTTAGATTCAACAAGTTTTTACCTTTAAAATATCATAAATCCACTGTCACCTGTACCACACTTTATTCTATTACGTTCAAAAAAAGGTTATAATAGTTAAATAAAAAGAGAATAAAAATCACACCTTTGAAAAAAAAAAAACTCGAAATGAAGTGATTTTGTGAAGAAAAATAACTAAAATAAAATAAAACAAAAAGTATAGAGGATATATTCATAGTTTGTTAGTTTGCTAAAATTTGATCAAAACTTGCCTGACGATTCTTTGACGGAAACATTTTGGGTTTTTACAAGACTGTGAGTTCACTGCTTTCAGAAGGTTCTGTGTTTTTCGTGTAGTTTCTGTACTGCTTTTCCTAAATCTAACCTCTGACATCTGCCCTCCATACAATAAGAATTCACGAAGACTAAAACTAACACAAACTAACCTAAAACTAAACATGTTCAAACTATAAATAAATAACCAGAATGAGCAAACTCTGTCTGGAAATGAACCAAAACTTAACTGAATTAAGAGAAAAAGCTTTTTGTTGTGAGGCGTTAGTTCTATCAACTGCACCACCAACCATTTTAAACCAGTGACTGTTGATGTGTGTGTGTTGGTAAGTTTGCATTTAACAAAAAGAGGAAGCTTGTTAGTTAGAGGGAACTAGACTGCAGCAGGATACAAAGTTACTGCATAAACCCCACTGCAGAATAACTGTCTGTCACACTAATATGGGACAGTTGTTCCAACATGTTTTGTTGTTTGTAATCGCAAAAAAGGCTTCTTTTTTTACCTGCTTCTGCTGAATGCACCCCTGGGACTGCAGAGCTCGAGTCAGAGCGAGCACAGTTGGATGGATCGGCACAATGACCACTTGTCTGCAATCTCCTTTGCTTGGAATTGGAGGCAAACTTTCTCTCCTCCCTGTACACCAGCAGTCTGAGAAAACCTTCAGCCAACATGCCCGCCTAGTAACTGGCCTTCTTTTTCCTCTGCCTCTTTTGCTTCTTCGGTCACTTGCATGCACTAATGGCACTGCGTGACTGTAAGTGCGGTTATAAAGATCTCCAGTCTGGTTTCACTTCTGCATATAAGAACTGCCCCCTCCACCTTCCCGCCCCGGCACTTCCTTTATTTAATCTATAACCGAAAATCTGAGTTAAAAAAATGAGAACAGCTCATTTTTACATAACAGGATAAGTTAACATCGTCAGGTTGAGGAGCAGGTGGTATCCGGCTC